TGTGTCATTTGGAGCTCAGCATGCTACTCCAAAAGGAACAGGCTTTGGATTTTCAGTCTCATTCCCACTGAGCTATTCTCAGAACATAAAAGGGAGTGTGGCTGTGTGTGGGCAAGGCCCAGAACTGCCACGTCTGGTCTGCGAGTTAGTGACAAGGAGTACTCCATGTTTCATGAGAACCTGCAGCTGGAGCTGGGAGAGCTTGGCACAGCACCCTGGGCAGAGCCTGACGCAGTGTGGGTCAGGAGCCTGGAATGCCAGACAGCTCCAGATCAGTGTTGTCACAGCTGGGATGGGGAAGTTTGCAGACCCCCTGCCATGTTCTGCCTCACTCATTTTGTGGGTGCCAGTAGGAGAGAGTCTGTGACCCTGCAGAGGGAAGTCCCAGGGGTTCCCCATCAGGGATTTTGGGGAACTCTGGTCCCGTCCTTGATAGCCTGTTCTTTCCTTGACCTCTGGTCTATTTGATCTTGCTTTTAGTTCTTTTGTGAATGGATTTGAAGCCTGTGCTTTTGCATCCGAGGAGGAGGAAGAGGAGTTTCCGGCATCTCAAGCAGCAGCTCGGGAAGAAGAAAAGCTGGAGGCAGTGAGGTGCTACATCCGCTCAAACACAGCCCTGTACAACAGGATTCTCTTCTATGAGCCACTCGAGCTGGTGGATCTGCACGCAGAGCTCAAACAGAACGGCATCAAAATTTCCAAGGCAAAGCTGCTGGACTTCCTGGATTCTCAGTGTATCACATGTACCATGGCCGGAGCCCGGAAAGAGCAGGGACAGAAAAGAAAAGAGAACAAAAAACAGAGAAGGCGACGCCAAGTGAAGGCCACTCCTCCACCCTGACAGTCCTGGGCGTGGAGGCCTCGCTGCTGAGCTGGAAACCCCCTTCCCAGATGGAGCTCCCATGGTGGGTGCTGGGTGGGAGCACAGCTCCTCCTCGTGCCCTGCTCCCAGAGCACATCCCAGAGAACAGGGCTGAGCCGTGCTCCCGTTCCGGAGCCATGGGAGCCTCCGTTCCCAAACCCCTCCATCGCTGGCCTGCCTTCAGCACACAGCTACCCTAGACCCTCTTTCCCCCTCAGTTTTACTTTTGTGCCTTTTCTTTCCATTTTTCCAATAGGTTTAGGTCCCCAACTTTTCTTCATGGTGGTGCTTCCCTCAGTGACACTTTTCATGACCTTTTCCCTGGCTTTGGGCTGGGAAATGCGTCCCCCTTCACCTTCCAGTATTCAGTCCACTATGGAAAGGGGTGCTTGTTTGGACTGGGGACTTCCACCTTCCTCTCTTCAGCACACTTTGTCCTGCTGATTGTGAAGTAGGACATGTATGTAGAAATACATACAAGGCCTTTTTTCTGTCCTTGGTTCGCTTTCCAATCTTTAGTAAACTTTCTAAATCTGTGTTTCTAGAACAGTTGCAGAGCAGTGGAGGTGTCCTTCTTTGGTCTCTTTGGGATGGCTCCCAAAAGCACCCCTGACACCCAGTGTCATGAGAAAGCCCTTTAGATTGGAAAATTCAGTGGGGTGTGTCCATTTCCAGGCTGGATCTGTGTTAAAATCCCTTCTGCTGCATCTCCTGAATGCCCTTTGACCTTATTGGTGTGGCCTGAGTGTGTCTCTGGCACAGATGTCTTGAATGCAAGATTACAGTGCCCACTGGATCTCTTCAGCACTTCTTACACCCTGAAATAAAACTGCTGTTCTGATCAGTCCCATTTACAAACTGGACTGATCCCACTTGGAAACTGTCTGGGACTCTTGGGGAGGTCTTGGACCCTAAATTGTCTTATTCTGTGTATCAGGTTTCACATCTTCTGATTTCTTTCTGTTCTGGCACTTTGGAGTGTGCAAAGAGTCACTGAACAAAATGGACACAACACTTCACAAAAAGAAGCCAGATTTCTAAAAGTATTTATAGACTTGGAATGTAAAATTTTTATTTTTTATTTTTGATAAAGTATTATCTTCAATTTTGATTTCTATTCTATACAATAAACAATCTGTAAAGTCCTTATTCTAAACTCTAAGTAACAACTTAGAAGAGATTTAAGGGAAAGGTCTAAACAGCAGTGTTGGGTCTGGTTGAGGGCAGGGGGGTTCACAGTCTGCGCTGGGCCTGGCTGAAATCTGGAGCAGAGAACTAGAGGAAAACTGGAAGAAAAGGAGTTGCCAGGGCCACTCAGCAGCAGGGAGAGGTGGAAAGATCCCCAGCAATGGCTGAGGAACTGAGGATCTGCTGCCTGGAGTGAGATGAGGACGAGCTGCCTGGTTCCTCTGGGGTGGTGGGTGTGGGGCTCTGCAGGGAAGGGCCTTGCTGGAGCTGGGGATCCACGGTCAAGTGGAGAAGTGGAGTCTCCTCCTCTTCCAAGTCGTCCATTTCCTTCTCTTCTCTCTCAGCAATGCCCTCTGCAGAGAGCAGAGGCCCAGGAACATCCTCATCAGGTCTTGGTTCTCCTTCAGCAAAAGGATCAACTTGGAGCAGCCCTGCCCCTGGCAGCAGGTCCCTTGTATGGCCGAGGCTGTGTGGCCCTTTCTCCTGGAAGACACAGGACAGGGAGTCAGATGAAAGGGGCTGAGGGGCCTCAGGGGGCTGAGCCCTCTCTGGCTGGGCTTGGCCTCTCCTGGAGAGACTCAGGCCTGGCTGGGCTGCCCCAGGCAGACCTGAAAAGCTCAGGCCGCCTGGGTCTGGTGTCCCTGGGGCTCAGCCTGTGCCCGATTCCTGCCCAGGGGCTGAGCCCCACCTCTGCCTCGGGGCCTTGGGCAAAGGGCTGGCAAGGAAGAGGCCCAAGAGCCTCGGGGCCTGCCCAGCTTTCCTCCTCCCTGGGGGGCTGCTGGGGAAGGGAAGATGGGTGACCACTCCCTCTCAGTTCAAGAGCTCCCAGCAGTGACTTTGTTATGGGAAAAAGACAAGGCTTGCCTTAACTGGCCTTCCAGTGAATGCTGCTCCCTCAGTGTACTTGTATTTCTCAAGTCTGCACCTCACACATGGAAAAGCTTCAGTCCTACTTACCAGTCTTAATATGGGAAAATAAATGTCCCGTCCCAGGATTTTTTTGTTCTGATTTTGGGTAAGACTTACATCTACAGTCAAAGATTTTGTGATCAATTCTTTTATTACATGTTACCTTCACTGAATTACCTTCATTCACAGTTCAGTGGATGTAAGTTATAATCACTCAAATCACATCATGTCATAAAGCACTGTTTAGCAGGAAAAAAAGCTGTATTTTCATACCACATCTGTGCTGTCGGTGTTTGGAGGTGACCACTTTGCAGAGGCTTGCCTTGATTCCTCCTTATTGCTGAACTTGACAAAATGTAATTCTAAAACTTTTGTTAGATGATGAGAAAAGGATTTGAAATCTTTTGCAGCCTTCAAGACCACAAGGATACATCTGACATACACTGCAAATTATCTGAAAGCAATTATTCATTCTCCTGCTTCATTAATCCATGAGCAACGCAGGCCTGCCTGATCTAAGGCTGGTGTTGCCATCTGCCAGTGCTAATGTGTTGCCAAATAATTCAATTTGTAAATATTTCTGTGGTTTTTACCTTCCTAATGCAGGCTCATTTGCCCTGAAAGATAAATTGTCATAATTTTTAATTTCCAGCTCTGTAGTAACAGTTATCAAAAATAGTTTGAGACCTTTTTTTTTTTTTAACACTTCCAATGCTGCAAAAAAAACCCAAACCTTTTCAACTAGAATATTAGTTGTTAAGTTAAAGAAAGGAGCAGATATGTTATTGGCATTGCACAAAGCCTCTGTCTTACCAAGATGCACCATGTGAGCTTCTAAATTTGCTGTGATAATCAAATGACCAGTGGGACTGATTTAGGATATTCCATGTTGGTTTGTGTATCGCCACATTTCCTGCCTGGAAAAAAATGGCTTTAATAGGTTTATTCTGCAAAGCTGTGCTGCAGATTTCTGTGAAATAATTCTGAGAAGAGAGTTTTCTTACACAGGCAGAGTTCTGTGCGTACACTCACCCTGTTTAATGGCGTTTTCTGAGTGGTTGTTACACAGCACCGTGGTCTCTGACACGGCTGAGACCCTCGGAGGTTTTAAGTACAAAATATATAAAATAACTACAAAATATGTTCTGTAAAGCACAGAACATAGACTGCTGTGCCTTCCCCTTCTTCTGGGCTAACAGAGTCACACTAAGGGTGCCAGTGTTTAGATATGGAAGGGATAAATGCAAAGCAATCCTCCCTGCAGCTCTCCAAGGGGACTGGAGCTGTTCTGAGAGAGCATTTCAAATGTGCTGGTTTGCTTTTTTATTATCCCAGCATAAGATTTCTTCCAGAGGCATTGCACGTCAGCTGGTTAATGAAACACAAAGTGCCTGGGGGAGGTGACACATCCCTGTGATCACCCTGAGAGGCTGTGGACTCCCTGCCCCTGGAAGTGCCCAAGGCCAGGTTGGACAGGGCTTGGAGCAACCTGGGCTAGTGGAAGGTGTTCCTGCCCATGGCAGGGGGTGAGATGGGCTTTAAGGTCCCTTCCAACCCAAACCATGTGCGATTGCTAAGAATTTAAGCTCGTGCCTGAGCTCAGAACAACCCCGCTGCTTCTTTCCAAATACTTGGGACCTGGGCGGCCCCAGCCCAGGTTGGGTCCCCAACTCCTGGAAGGGCACCGAGCCCACGTACAGGTTTCCAGAGCTCTGCTCGGGTGTTCTCTGGATACTTTCCTCTCCTTAGAAAGCGCTCTTTCGATCGCGCCTTGTTCACTGAGCCTCTGGCGCAAAGGCTCTGTATTGCCCCCGGGGTGGGCACTCGCTTCCCCCCTGAAGCGCTGTTGAGGTACCCCAAGGGAAACCCTCCGCCTGCGGGGAGACCCTCCGGCAGCCGCGGCGGCTCACCCAGCACACGGGAGGGGCCCCGCGGCTGCGGGGAAGGCTCGGAGCGCAGCGGGCAGCGGGTAACGGGCCCTCAGGGGAGGCGGGACAACCGCCATCGCCGCCGCCATTTTGGGTGGCCCTCAGCGGCGCGGGCGCCGCCGCCATTGGCCACCAGTGCTCGTCACGTGACGGCGCCTCAGCGGCCGCGGAGCCGCCGAGCGGGACCGAGAACGAGTGAGGGGCTGGGACGGGACCTCCGGGACGGAACGGTACCCCCGGAACGGGACCTCCGGGGCTGGGGCGGGACCCCCGGGACCGGACGCGGGCACAGCGGGGCTGGGACGGGACCCCCAGGGACGGGACCCTCGGGGCTGGGACGGGACCCCCGGGACGGGACCCCCGGGACGGGACGCGGGCACTGGCGGGGCTGGAACAGGCGGCTTTTACCAGAGTCCAGGCCCAGCCGCCCCCCACGCCTGGGCAGCCCCCACAGCCCCTCCCGGTTCCCGCGGGCCCGTAGCGGTGCAGAAGGCCCGGTGCACCCCGGGGTCCCCAGCCGGTCCGTCTGACCCACCCCGTGTCTCCCCCACGGAGCAGGACCCCCCGAGTGGAGCTGGAGATGATCTCCCACATGGATCGTAAGGAGGAACTGTGGTTCTCCCACCTCTGCACCTTCCAAGTGAAGACCGAGATGGTTCTGAGCGACACCTGTGCAGGTGAGGGGATGGTACAGTCATAGAATCATTAAAGTTGGGAAAAGCTGTCTAAGGTCATCGAGTCCCACCATTAACCCAGCACTGCCAAGTCATCTGTGAACCTGGCAGTGAGAAAAACTTCTCCAGGATCCCCAAACCACATCAGAACGTGCAGGATTGGTGGTACTGGGATGGAACACAGCCCTCCCAGCGCTGCCAGTTCCTGGCAGAGGCTGGGGCTGGATCCCAGAGAAGGCAGACAGGCAGTGCTGTGTCCATGGATGCTTTCACAGGCCCTGGCACTCTGTGGTTTCAGAAAGTCCTGAACTAGACTCACCATGTGTCCCTGTCTCACAGCCCTGCCTGTATAATGGCCAGTCTTCGCGAGCGAAGATTTGGGAAAGGTCATTGACCCTTCGAGCCTGCGCAGTGGATTTTTTAGGTGAGACACAGCGTGGCAGTGAGGGTCTCAGAACGTAGGTTTGTTTAGAATGACCTTCTCTTAGATGGATTGCCTTACAAGGCTGACGAGCTCCATCTAATCGAACCCGGGTCGCAGCGGTGAGAGTCCTGCACCCTAACCACTAGATCACCAGAGGCCCCAAGCCCTGCCTGTAATTTCTTGCTATCCGAAGCTGTGTAAGGTTTAGCATCAGTGACAGCTCTCAGCCAGCAGTTCCACAGCATATTCAGCTGCTTTGTGAGTCGCTGCCTCCTTTGGTTTGCTTTGACACTGCCCTCTAGGAGCTCACTTGATGTCAGAGATCCCCACCCGTGGGCCACTTGTGGTTTTATAGTCCTCTGCAATAGCCCTGTCAGCTGTGCCTTTTCACAACAGAATGGGCAGCTGAGTCATCTGTACAGAATCTGTACAGCAGTATAGGTCCTTCATGTCATCCTCTGTATCTGCCTCAGCTCTGTTGGAACTTCTCTGAAAGGGGGGATCCATCCCCTCCTTGCACACACTCAGGATGTGGGGTTTGATTGTTTTTCCCAAACAATCATTAGCATTTGATGAGCTGTTTTGTCTGCCTGGGAGCTGCAGTTTTCATCCATCTTCTCTAACTCCATGGTGCTATTCCTGAATAACACCAAGAACATCCTGGGCCCATTCTGATAAAAGTGAAAGGTATAGATGCTGTTTACCTCTGCAGTTCTTTGTGTTTACCTGCAGTGAATGTCCCCTGTCACCTGGCTGGTCATAAGGCTCTGACACAGTTTATAGTCAGCCTTTGTGTCTTGCCCCTGAATAACAGAATCATCATCCACCTTCTTTTCCCTTCATTCCCACCTCCTGAGGGTCATCCATCCCATGGCAGCTTAGCTTCCTTACCGGTTTGGTGAAGGATGAATGTCTTTGGGAACACCTTTGCACTCCAGATCTCTTTTGCTAAAATTAGTGACATCTCTGAGGAGCTCCAGGTGGCTTCTCCTGAGAAAGAGAGATCCAAGGGTACATTTAAGGTGATATTTAGGTTCTCTCTCAATGTTTACACTCACTCTGCTTACTTGGAGCTTTCCTTGTAGCTTAGCCCTGGCAATCTTGGCCATATCAGAGGCCTGAGCATAACCCAAATTGGCCTGGGCTGACAAGGAGCCACACTCTTCCTTTTTCTCTTGCTTATTCATTTTTGCCAGTTCAGCCCTAATGCTTCCAGTATGAATTCCTCTGGTGAGGTCCTGTGTTCATGATTTTGATCAAACCCTTTACAGACAACAGCAACAGAGCAACTTCCCAAGCTCCAGTGTCTGCTCAGTAAGTCAGACCTACAGGTCAGGAGTTTCATGCTGGGCTGACAGAAATGTCCTTATCCTGCCTTTGGATATCCCTCTTCTCTTCTCCTACAGGCCTGGATGGACTGGCTGCAGACAGATGGAAGTGGATAGCAAAGTTCCAGTTTCTGTTCCTCTGAAGGAATGATTTTAAGGGAAACTATGTGAGGGAAAAGTAGCATCAATGCCACACCACAAAAGGCATCTCAGGAGCTCAAAGTGAAATCATATTGTTATGATTTTCTTACAGTGACTAGAAAGAGGAAGATCAAATATGTACTTGTATCATCTGGGTTGTTATTTTATTATTATATTATTATTAATTCTGGACTCTCCTTCCTTTCTTGGTTCAGCAGTGACTCTCCTGTTTCAAGGCAAGCACTTCCTCATCCCAGCTCTGCCAGAGCACCAGCAGTGCCTGTGGTCTGTCCATCAGCCCCACATGACTGGTATGTTACCAGTTCATTCCACAGGGGTTTTCAGAGATCCAGGAGGAGCCACTGAGTTTTTCCATGGGCAGAGCTGGGGCTCTGTGTGTTTGCAGCTTCAGTCCTCAGCCTGTGCCATGGTTTGGGTCTATGTGTAGTCAACAGCAGGTCTGTACACGATGATCTGGAATCTCTTCCCTTGACAGACCTGTCCTAACCCTGGATGTGATGCCTCTCCTCTGAGATGCATGCTGCCATTTCTACATCCCATGTACATCCCTCTGACATCCACTGGCCCTTCCCTGGCAGCAGATGGGGCTGTGCCACACATCCTGTCTTGCCAGTTTAGCACATGAGCCCTCAGTGAGTCTGCAGAGAGCTCCACGGCCCCACTGACAGCAGAAGCCAGAGCACTGCTGGGATCTGTGCTTCTGGACCTGCTGGGATGCTCCTCAATTTATGTTAGAGGATTGAGGAGCATCCTCTATCTTAGAGGATAGGTGAGCAGCAGGCTGGAAGGAGGCAGTGCTCTGTGTAGATACCTGAGGAATTTGTGCAGCCCCTTGTCTGGAAAGGCTTTCAGCTGACCCCGAGTCTGTGCAGCATAGATTCATCCCACTTGTGTTTCTGCAAGACTTGGTGGGAATCAGAGGGCAGGGATTTGTTCATTGCCTGTGTCCCAGGAGCTGGTTGTACTGTTCAGTTGGCATTACTTCCATGGACTTGCACTGCCTTCATCTTCTGTGTTTATATTGGATTTCCACAGTGAATTATCTGGAGTTGCCCACAGAGGATCTTCAATTCACCAACCACCCCCCACACCAGGTTTGCTTTGCACCCCTGGAGCACAAAACTGCCTTTCTTCTGCTCTAAGACTGGCATCAGCCAGGCTCCAGGTGGTCTCCATGTCTCATCCCTTAGGGCCAGTGTCTCCTTTGGGCATCTTTTCTCTCTCTGCAACACCAGCAGCACAGATGCTGCATTTGTTCTGCTGAGCAGGGCAGTTCTTTGTGGCCCTTCCATGACTCCCAGTTCAGCTTTTAATAATGTTTTCAGATATCCTGGAAGAGCAGCCATCTTTCCCATTCAAGCACTAAACTTTCACCTCTAATAAGCCAGTATTTTCAGTGGATTCAGGTTCTGGCAGAGCACCTAGGGCCATCTATTTCCAGGATTTCTTCCTGTGAACACTCTTGAGAAATCCACTGTAGAGTTTGGAGGGAAATATCAAAACTTTTTATACTTAATCTGGTGAGTTCTTGGAATTTGGCCCCTTTCTATTTCCCCCGTCTAATGTTTTGTGTCCTGCCTGTGACTTCTCTCTGGATTCTCCTTTTTTTGCAGCTGAAGATGGGATTGTGAGCAAGAAAGAGGAGAATGCCCACCAAGGCATCCCTGGGCCAGCAGAGCCCGAGGCTTTACTCTCAGGACTCTCCAAGGAGAACAATTCCCAGAATCCAGCACAGGACCCAGTCATCCCACACAGGTCAGAAGGAGTTCAGAGACCTCTGGGGAAGAGGCAAAGCCAAGTGATGCTGCGTGGGAAGAGTCTCAGGAGGCCGACAGACATTACCCAGCAGAGAAATCCATCTGTGGGGAGACTGATGGTATGTGGGGACTGCGGGAAGGGCTTCCGGGTGAGCTCCAACCTCATCCAGCACCGGAGGATCCACACTGGAGAGAAACCCTTCGGCTGTGCCGAGTGCGGGGGCAGTTTCCGGCAACGCTCCCATCTCATCCAGCACCAGAGAACCCACACGGGGGAGAGGCCCTACGAGTGCTCCGACTGCGGGAAGACCTTCAGCGTGAGCTCCAAGCTGCTCCGCCACCAGGTGACCCACACCGGGGAGAAGCCTTACAGGTGTTCCGAGTGCGGGAAGAGCTTCTCCGGGAACGCCCAGCTCGTGCAGCACCGGCGGGTTCACACGGGGGAGAGGCCCTACGAGTGCGGCAGCTGCGGGAGGAGCTTCAGCGTGAGCTCGGCACTGGCGCGGCACCGGCGCGTCCACACCGGGGAAAAGCCCTACGGCTGCTCCGAGTGCGGGAAGAGCTTCAGCCAGAGCTCCGAGCTCATGAAGCACCGGCGGGTCCACACCGGGGAGAAGCCGTACGGGTGCTCCGAGTGCGGGAAGAGCTTCACCGTGAGCTCCGCCCTCATCCAGCACCGGCGGTTCCACACGGGCGAGCGCCCGTACGGGTGCTCCGAGTGCGGGAAGAGCTTCACGGTGAGCTCGCACCTCATCCAGCACCGCCGCTCCCACACCGGGGAGCGCCCCTTCAGGTGCGTGGAGTGCGGGAAGAGCTTCCTGTGGAGGTCGGCGCTGCTGCGGCACCGGCGGGTGCACACCGGGGAGCGCCCGTACGCCTGTGCCGACTGCGGGGACAGCTTTCGGCAGAGCGCCCACCTCACCCAGCACCGCCGCACACACACCGGGGAGCGCCCCTTCGCCTGCGCCGACTGCGGCAGGGGCTTCGCTGTCAGCTCCGCGCTGCTGCGGCACCGCCGCACCCACGGGGCCGGGCAGGCCTAGGGCGGCGTGGGCAGCGGGGCCGATCGCTGCGAGCCTGGCGTCTCTGCTTCACTGACAGCCCTGCTCCTGGAGGGGGAAGGTAGCTTATTTTAGGAGAACAAGCCCCAAAGGAGAGAGAGAGAAGAAAGGGAGAGGCAGTGCGAGCAGCTGGAGGTTTGGGGAGGAGCGTGGGCTCAGCAGGGGAAGGCGCTGGTGGTCGGAGGGGAAGCTCTTGGGAGAGAGAGGAAGTGGTCTGAAAAGGCTGGAATGTGCCTGGTGTATTTCAGAGGGAGGTGAATGACTCTCCTGTGCTCACGCGTTATGGACCATTAACAGTGAACCAAACGGACCATCTCAAACGCTCTTGATTTCTGTGTTCAGAGACACCGGGCTCACCCCTCAGCCCACGGGCTGGGGCTGTAGCACAGAGAAGCCCCAGGCCTGATGTCCTCAGCCGCCTTGCGAGGGCTGTCCGAGTGTGCCGCCGGCCCCGCAGGGGCCGTGGGGCGGGAGCCGCGCTAGGTGTCGTTGCTGCCGCAGCCAATAAAGCCGCGGGTACCGAAGCGCCGTCGCCGCCATCTTTCCTTCTCCGCCACCGTTCTTGCCCGCTGCGCATGCGCGGCAGCCGACCTCCCGCGGGGGTGGGGCTACGCGCGGCACCGTCCAGGTGAGGGGGCGGGGCCAGGGCCGCGGCGTGACTTCCCGGCCGCTCCCACCAATCGGCGGCGCCGGCGCGTGCCATCCGTGTGTCCTGATTGGCCGCGCCGTGACCCCCCCTCATTAATAAATCCCGGCCGGCCGTGGGGGGTCTTTGTTTCGCGCCGCGGGCGGAGGGTGGAGGCGGCTCCGGTGAGTCTCCGTGGCAACGGGGGGGCTCCGGGCCCTGCTCCGCGGGGCTGGTCCCGCACCCTGCGGCGGCGAGGGGAGGACGCTGGGACGGCGGGCCCGGAGCTGTGGCGGCCGAGCTTTCCGCCGGGCCAGGCCCGCAGTTTTCAGCCCTCCCGGATCCCTGCCGTGTGTCCCCGCTCCGGGACACGGCGGCCTCAGAGCCCCGCGGTGACTCTGCGCGGCGGCTCGTTACGGGTGCCCGGGGCTTCGGGTCGGGAGCCGTGCGAGGGGGGCACTTGGCTCTCCTTGATCCCGCTGAGCTCAGAGAAGAGCTTGGAGGGCGAAGGCCTCCGAGGCCTCTCGCTGTCCCTGCCTTTCCGTTGTTGGGTGAAACAACTGTCCTATTCAAGGCTCAGCACTTACACCCAGCAGTGCATTACACCCCGAGTGCCATCACTGGCCCCGCTCGGCGCGTCCCAGGCACAGCTGTCAGCGTGCTGGGACAGGCAGGGCGAGCACTGGCTCTCCCCAGAGCAAGAGCTCTTTGATATAGCCATGTGTGTCTTTCTTATCCCGGATCCGGCCCTGACTGACTTGTCCCTTGGCTGTTCTCATAGCCAAGGTGAGAAAATAGGTTTCTCATGTGCTGCCTGTCACAAAGGCCACCACCAAAGGTGCTCTGAGGGTCTGTGAGCTCGCCAGGAGCTTCCCTCGGTCACGTTGCTGAGGTGCTGGGCTGCAGCTCTGGGGGACAGAAATAGCATTTGTGTGGGCACTGCTAGAAGTGTCTTAGACTTGAATTATTGCCTAAATTTTGGCTGTGTCCCGATGAAGCCTTAAACCTACCTGGGATCAGGTAATGTAGCAATTTATTCTGTGAGGCTCCATTTCCAGCAACAGCCGGTGCCAAATTCCAACCCAGAGGGAGGAGGAGACACAAGTCTCTCCTGCTAGGATTGCCAGGTAACCTCTGAGATGATTCCAGCCCCTAGAGTGGAGTTCTGGGGTTTGTCTCCAGCACAGTGATGCTCAGGTAGGTCCAGCCACACTCTGAGCTCTGTGTATAGGGAAATGCCTTGAAATTACTTGGAGGTCAAACAGCAAAGGTGAACTCTGTACTGCCTGGGTGTTCCTGAGCTACTGAACTTCTCCCAGAGTGCCCAAGCAACTCTGAGGCTTCCAGTCCTGCTTCCTGCAGCAGTGGTGCCTGCTTCCTTCAAAAGGCACAGGATTATGGGGATTAAGTGTCTTCCTACCCTACCTGTGCATCTGATGCTTGCTGGGGAGATGTGCATGGGGGCAAAGTAATTGCTGGCTGGATGAGGTGGGATGTTTTCTCAGAGGGTTTGAACACTGTCATTGGGAAGGAAATGTTTAGAATGCTGAGGTGTCCTGTACCAAACCTCCTCCCCACTCTCCAGCCCTGCTATCCCAGCTCATGGCTTTGATTTGAGTTGGATTTCTCCCAGGCAGGCTGCTGTCTGGGCACTGCAAAGATACGTGTTTACACTGAACATCAGCCAGGTCCTGGATGAGCTGAGCTCCTGCAGCAAATGGAATGACATTCCAGCCTCTGCAGAGGAGGTGGGCAGCTCCTTGGCATGTGGGACACATCCTCCTTTCCAGAGGAGCAGAGCACCCTGAGAAACCAGGGCTGTGACCAGGGACTGGAGTTGCCAGTTTTTGAGTAAAAGCAACAATGTGTAGTGATAAGAGACACAATGATTCTGACTTTCCTTCCTCCCAGTCCTTGTGCAGTAGCCCAGCAGTGGAAAGGATTGGACTGGTTTGTGCTGACATGTCTCTTGAATTCATGGCTCATTGGGGAGGTGTCTGTACTAGAAACTGTATCAGAAAAATCTGAGCTTCCCTATTTCCTGCACGTGTTCTGCCCTTGCCTCGGGCTACAGGGACTGCTGTCATCACTGACTGCCCTATTGCCATGGAGAGGAATGTGTCACACTGAGCCTCTGCTGCACAGTTGCAGATACAAGTCCCAGAGTGCATCAAAGACCTTAAATGCCTGTTTGTGTGCTGAACCCTGCTCCCGTCAGCAGACAGTGCTCCTGGGGCAGCCATTCCCCGTTCTCATCAGCTGTGCTGCTACAGCACCGGTAACAGGGTTGGGTAAAGGCTTCTGAGATCCCCCCAGCTCCCCCTGTGTGATGTGGGGAGCAGAGTTCCCGTGTGGGGGAGCGCTGCTGAACACGAGTGTGCCCGAGGCGCAGGAGGGGAGGCTCTGAGGAGTGAGCAGAGGTGTCTTGTACAACAATGATCTCAGGGCCATGTGCATGTGGCCACTGGGAGCCTTGAGCCACTGCTGCTGTTAACATGGTTTGCTGAGCTTGATGTGGTGTGTTCCTTTAGGCTGGACTTGATGTCAGCCTTCAGGCCTCTCCCAAGGGATGAGTGGTGCTGAAGTGCTCTGTAGCTCTGCTCTCACCTGCTGCTTTTGTACCGGGGGCTGTTGCAGGTGTGTGGGGACAGCACACCCTACCTCCAGGCCTCTGGCTTTCTGGGGCTGTAAGATGAGCTGGAACTCGTTTGTCCAGTTTCATTTTGGAATCTGCATCTCTTGAGAAGGTCTGGCCTGCCATAAGCCAAGCAGGAGAGATGATCTGCACTGGCAGAGGTGAGTGGGCTGTGCCCCTGTGCCCATGAAGGCTCCTGGTTGAGCTCAGGTGGGTGATTTGCCTCTGCTTTGGTTTCCCTTCCCCACAGTGGGCATCTCCCAATGTTTGAAGGTGGAGCTGTGTGAGGAGCGAAGATGAGTCCAGTGTGCTGAGCTGATGTGAGCATGTGTGCTGTCTAGGGAGTGATCACATGGACAGTACAGCACCTGAAGGTGGTTTCCTCACCTATCTTGAGCCCGTGTGCTGGTGTTCCCACCTGCCCTGCCCTTCCCCATCCTGGGGTGGGAAGACTTCACCCTGCCAAGTCCTGCAGGATGCAGCCCCCTGAAGTGGGGGAGCACAAGGATGGCTCTCCTAGAGCGAGGCTTTCCAAAGAGCCAGCAGCAGCTTAGCCCCTTGCTCCTCTGCCAAGGCTGCCTCTATGGTGGTGCTGCTCTGCACAAAGCTGATTACAGGCCCACTTTGTAAATGAGGTGCCTGGATTTCTGTGCTCAGCCAGTGTAAGTGATACCTGCCTGGAATGGGCTCTCCAGGCTGGTTTTGTGTGGAGCCTGGGGGTTTCCTCCTTGTTTACCCCAACTGCATGTGGGGGGGGAGTAGTCACGAGGTGTGATGTGCTGATCCAATGAGTGAGCCATTGTTCCTGCTTCTGGGTAAGTCTTGTGCATCCTGGTAAGTCCAAGGAGATTCTGTTTCCTTTTGCAAAAGAGGAGGGGAAACCCAGCTGCTTGTGGGGTTTGAAGTAAACCCTGGCAGGCAGGAGAGGAGGCTGTGAGTGGGAACAGGAGCAGTGAAATCTGCCCTTGCTTTGGAAGTTCCTATATTCTGTCGCAGGGAATGTTCTTGTTTCCCCTGTGAGCTGCCTGACTTCAGAGCTCAGCTGACCTAATTCCCCACTGCTTTCTTCCAGGGAAGCTCTGTGCTGCTGTGGAAATGGAGCTTGTTCTTCTTCCTGAGTGAAGGGGAGGTGCTTCCCTTTCCTGTGACTCTGCTCTGAGCAGCACATTGGGTGAAATATTTGGTGGCACCAGGGGAGAGCTGCTTGCTCACGATTTCGGTGCAGGTTCCCAGCTCGGAGCTCTCACCTTCAGCCAGGAGCCACCCTGAAGTGGGAAACCAAATGCAGGCTGCTCGCTGTGTTGTAGGTCTGTGAGGTTGATATTTAGTGAGCTGGGTGTCGGTGTTGAGGTTCTCCTGGGGGGGCTGAACTGAACAAACAAATGTGCTTCCTTGGAAGCGCCTGGTGTTCGGTGGAAACGGCCGGCGGCTGTTCCTCACCCCCTGCCTGGGGGGCAGCCCAGAGGCTCCTTGCTAGACAACATTTCACACCCATCTCTTTGCTAAGGCAGCTTCCCCCAAAAGCCCCTTCCTGATTTTACCTTTCAGACCGATCCCCAGCACTAACCAGCAATGCCATCGGCCATGGAGGGCCCGGAGGTGGGGGAAGACGCGGATGTCTCGCGCTACGAGGAGACAGAAGACAACAATGTCAGGTGAGTCCTGTCCTACACTATTGCACAGACACAGCCCTGGGCAAGGCAGGAGACCTGCCAGGTCAAGGAGTGATCCTTCTCCTCATCTGAAAGAAGTGAGAGACACCAGTAGATGACTAATCAACTACATGTGCAGTAAAATCTGTTTAATCAAACTGCTGGAAGGGATGGGAAGGAGCAATCTGGCAGGGCTGACAACACAGTTATTTTTTTAGCTGCCACTGTCAAACTGACATTCCACAAACACTTTGACCATTTGGTGGTTGTGTTTCTGCCTTCCTGGCCAAGGAAGCCGGTTTTCCATGGCTCGCTGGGCAGGCTCATGTGATAGCAGCTTCTTGTTTTGAAAGGTGACTCTAGAGGTGAACTCCACTCTGGACAGCTGCCTTTCTTGCTTTGCAGAATACCCGCAGGTCCAGGCAAGAACATTTCCAAAACCAAATTCACAAAATGCTCTAAAACCCAAGGATTCAGACCTGGAAAATGGGAAGAATATAGGGTGCTTCCCAGAAGACCTAGATAGGCTGGTCGACTTCTTTGACTTGACAGGCTCAGCTTCATAAGAAGTTAATGTTTCCTGGCTCTCCTGGCACACTCAGTGGGTCTGGGGTGTCCAAAGTCTCTCTTCCAGCTAACAGGAACGTGTTACCTGTAGCAAACTAGTGATAAAAACCACAAGGTGCACTTTGGCATGATTTGAGTGAGTGTAGTGTTGATACTGTACCACCCTCCAGGTAAGTGCAGTGGCTGTAACTACAAATCATAGATTTTAATGAGGTTATTTTAGAAATTCACCGTGTGGAAACCTGCAAAACCAGTGTAATTCAGGAGAAATAAACTTTTTAAGGGTATTCTTGCCCTGCTGCCTTCTGCTGGTGCCAGTTCAACCTGGGGAGTGGCCTGAGGGTCCCACCTTGTACCTTCTCCAGTCTGGGCCTGGGATGTTAGGGACTGAAGGGGATCCCTGCAAACAGAGCAGGGACAAACTCATAGCTGTGTGTGGGTGTGGGGTAAAAGGAGCTCTCCCTGTCCCCTGCAGCCCCACGGACCTGTCAGAGCTGCTGAAGGAGGGCACTAAGGAATCCCACGACCGTGCCGAGAACACCCAGTTTGTCAAGGACTTCCTGAAAGGACGGATCAGGAAGGAGCTCTTCAAGGTGGGTGTTGCTCTGCTCCTGATCTCTTTGATGTGATGCAGACTTGGAGGCAGAGCCCCACAGCCCTGGGGGGTGTTATGGGGGTAGGTAGAGCAGAGCCTCTGCTCCTTCAAGCAATACCTGCCTAGTATGAGCTCTCCAGGTGGGTTTTGTGTTGAGTCTGGGGTTTTCCTCCTTGTTTACCCCAATTTCAAGCAGGGGGGAGCAGTCCTGAGGTGTAATGTGCTGATCCAGGGACTGGCTTTTCAGGTGAGCTGTGCTTTGTCCATAGCTGGCCACAGTGGCCCTGCACTTCACCTACTCTGCCCTGGAGGAGGAGATGGATCGCAACAAGGACAACCCGGTCTTTGCTCCTCTCTATTTCCCTGTGGAGCTTCACCGGAGGGAAGCACTGGCTAAAGACCTTAAATATTTCTATGGAGAAGACTGGAAAGAGAAGATCCAGTGTTCAGAGGCAACTCAGCAATATGTGGACAGAATCCATCATGTGGGACAGCACGAGCCAGAGCTGCTGGTGGCTCACGCTTACACCCGCTACATGGGGGACCTCTCAGGTGGCCAGGTGCTGAAGAAGGTGGCCCAGAGGGCCCTAAAGTTGCCCAGTACTGAGGAAGGGATCCAGTTCTACGTGTTTGAGAACGTTTCCAATGCACAGCAGTTCAAGCAGCTTTACAGAGCAAGAATGAATGCTCTGGACTTGGACAAGAACACCAAGGAAAGGATCGTGGAAGAGGCCAACAGAGCCTTCAGATTTAACATGCAGGTACTAAACAAATCCCTTGAGCTCCTGTGTGTGCAGGTGCTGCTGCTTTTGGGTCTGATCCAGGTTAATTCAGTCAGACTGCTCACCCAGGCAGTGGTTTGGGGCTGAGACCACCTCTGTCTTGTGGGGTTGGGATTCTACTCTAAATAGCTTCTCCATTAGCTTCTGGAGCTGGTGTTGGGCAAGAATTCCTCCTATGCTCCAACACCACAGCTGGGCCTTTGACTGGGGCAAAATTAATATGACTTCAAGATTCCTGTGGGCTGTGTGGCTCTGAAGCAGTAAGGGGAACAAAGCTGTTGCTCCAAGACAGCCTCAAACAGTTTGAGTGTGTGACACCGCCCTGGTGACAGTCACCTCCTGTCTCAGGTCTGACATGTTGCCCTATGGCCAGAAATGTCTGGAGCCTCTTGTTCCTCCCATAGCATTTGCCTTTCATCAAACCTGACTGAGCTGCCACTTGCCCCAGGGGGATGAACACAGATTTAGCTACTGGATGGGAGCTTTAATCTGTGCTTGTAGCTGGTTGGTGTGGTTTAAACTGGTCAGGAATGTGTTGGGATGTGGTTGAGTCCTTCATCAGGATTCTTATGGAATCCTCTGGCAACAGAGCTGGAGGAGCTGGCTGGCCACTGCAGGAGCGGGGATCCTCTGACAGTGTGCAGTTGGCTCACACTCCCACCTGCAGCAGGATGAGAGGGGAGCAGCAGGGTGGTCCTGCCTTCTCCTGGCTCTTACTGGATGCTTTTGGGATGGGCTGTTCCTTCCTGGAGCTGTAACATGTGCCAGGTGCCACCACAGGTTTGCAGCGAGGTGCTCCCAAAGGAGTCCCGGGGGGAGGGAGGCAGGAGCGGTGCTTGCCTGTTCTCCAGATGATTCCAGGACTCTGGATGAGCTGTGCCTGCCTCACGTGCTCGCTGTGGCCACTTGCAGGTGTTTGATGAGCTGGACAAGATCGGCAGGTCGCTGCCAGAAGAAGCCCAAGACGGAGGGTTTCCAGTGCACGACGGAAAAGGAGACATCCGCAAATGCCCCTACTACGCAGACAAACTGGGTAGGTGGGGGCAGGGAGAGCTGCCACACGTGTGTGGCACGAGCCTGGCAGCACTAACAGTGCTTTCTGTGTCCTGGCAGGCGCGGCAGGGCCCGGCTGCCCCTTCCACGCCGCGGTGGGTCTGGCCAGGCAGCCCCTCGTGCAGCTGGTGCTGGCAGCCTGCGTGGCAGTGGCGGCAGGAGCTGCAGCCTGGTACATCCTGTGACTGGCACGGTGTGGGGGCAAGGAGAGAGATGTGCCCTGTCCGTTTTCAGACCCTTCCCTTGCTGGTGGTGAGTTGGCTGCAGAGTCGGAGTGAGGAAGTAAACGGGAATCCTGTGGGACTGTCCAAGCCTCCTTGCACACCCCTGTAATGTGATGTCTTTAGCTGACTAGTGCCCAGGACTGGTCGGTGTGAGGGGGTGAGGATTCCACTGCAGCACTGCCCTGCCCAGGCTGGGGCAGCTTTTAAGGCTAAAGATGTCTTGTCCTGTCCTGGCAAAGGCTTCACGTGCTTGGCTTTTCATCTCCATCCCCAGAGCAGTGTCCGGAGGGAGTTTCCTGCCCTGGGCTGCATCCCCAGAATGTGTCATCAGCCTCTTCAGCAAAGAGCACTTGCTTTCCCACCCTGAGAAGCTGAGGCTGTGCTGTGGGGCTGTTACCTCAAAGGAGAGTCCTGTTGGGTGTGCTGTCCCAGGGACCCGGTCTGACTCCTGTTGGAGGGAGCACCCTGGGGATGGGGACAGGACTGTGAGGGGGGATGGAGGTGACAGATGTGTGTTGTGCAACTTTGGGGGTTGAGGGTTGGTTGTTGGTTATTTTTCCTGAAGCCTTGACTGAAATAAAAAGTTGCAATGCTATAGCTGGGGAAAGCCAGAATCAAGTCACTGGGAGAACAGGAGAGGCTGGGGAGGGGATTAAGGGGGAGGTGGGAGCACTGTTGTACTTGTCTCTGACTCAGGCAGTCCCTGAGAAACTCCTGCTCTTGCAGCCCACTGTCCCTGCTGCCTCCCCTGGGGTTTCCCCCAGTTCCTGGTGAGAGGGTTCCTGGTGGGGTAAGGAAGCTGCTGCTCTTCTTCCTCGTCCTCAGCTCTCCTCCAGGCACATCTGCTCTGGATTTTGATCAGGAGAGAAGAAAAGATGTACACGAGTTCAGGGTCTGTTATTTATTTACATAAAAACACTGACTATTGCCACAGTTCCACCCCTGGGCAAACAGCAGCTGCCTGTGCAGGCTGGGCCGTGTTTGCAGACCTGGGTACCAAGAGACCGGCCCCTACTCTGCTCGGGGGCTGCAGGGGCAGGGCAGGAGCAGCCCCCAGAGGCTGACCACGGCTCCCAGGTCCTCTTGCCCGTGCCTGTGAGGGTGCTGCTGGCAGCTCCTGTCGCTGCCTGCTCGCCCCCTTCCTTCTGCCCCACTGAAGTGAGCTAAAAATACCCCCTACACCCACATGCAAGGAGGACCCCGCAGGGCAGTGCGGGGTGGAGCCCGCAGACCCCGCCGGGCTCCGGGCGGGGCTCCGGAGCTGCGGCCTGGTAACAAACTCCTCTACTCTACGTGCCGGGCAGGCAGCGACATGCCGGGTGTGGTTTTGGCTATCGGGGCTGCCGGGGGCTGTCCCTGCCCCGGAGCCGGCGGGGCTGGGAGGGGGCACATGCAGCTGGAGCGGCCACAGGGACAGGACGGAGGTGCTGATCAAGGGTGCAGTGCTGCTGCCGGTCCCCTCTCCGTGCTCAAAGGCAGCTCTGCCTCTCCTCGGGAAGGGGCTTTGCCGACGGGCTGGAGGGGGCTGAGACACACCCTGAAACCCGGTGTGTGGCACTACCCTCTGAGCCCCTTCCTAAAAGTGCCACCAGGGCTGTGCTGTGTCCCCTGAGTGTGCCGTGGGCTGCTCAGGTCCCCCCCTTCCCTCCTGGGCTCCCTGTGGCTGCAGCACATCCCAGCAGCCAGGCACCCCCTGTGCTGTGGGACGGGGCTGAGCCCCTCCAGCACTGGGGTTACTCCAGGGGAGAGGGGCCTCGCTCACACCCCGGAGCGTAGAGGGGTGCAGAGCGATGCCCCCACTCCTGCAGGGCACCTCCCACAGCATCTGGGGCCTGGGCCCACCTCCCCTGTGTGCCAGCATCGCCAATCCAGCTGTTCCCAGTGAGGACCAGAGCTCGGGGCAGGTGGTGGCAGCTCTGAGCGGGAGGGAGCCGGGGATAACACACACACACCACCGGCGGGAAGCGAAGGAGGGATGCACACGCGGAGACTCGGACGGCAGCGGGACGGGGCCGGCGTCATTCCAGTGGCTCCCAGGGCGCTGTTAGCACATGCGCTTGTACGTGTAGATATAGGCCTTGCAGTTGGGACACGTGTGGGTCACATCCTTGAAGTCATCGAACAGGCAGGGGATCAGGCAGCAGCAGAGATCACACCTGGAGCACAGGAAGGGAAGAGGCAGAGAATGGTGAGCTCAGGCAGCCCCTGGACACTGGGGGCACGGGCAAGAGACATGAGTATGTGTAGGGGCTGTCACCCTCCGAACCTCTCTGCTGCCCCAGTTCCACGTTGAGACCCCAGCCCTGCCCAGCAGCTCAGCCAAGGCCCCCAGCACTGGGGCTACCAGGACCAGGGCCGAGCGCCCACTGCGAGGCCCCAGCTCCCCCTGCAGCACCTACCCCATGAAGCAGCAGAAGAAGCCAAGGAGGAAGCTCATGAGCCCAATCTCGTAGGAGATCTTGGTGGTGATGGCTTGCTGGCAGTGGGGACACACTGTCTGCACAGGGGCACCCTGGAAGATCTCTCCCTGCAGCACCGTCACTGTGGTGGCAGCTCCCGGTGGGACAAGCACCGTCGCCGTGTGGCCACCAGGAGAGGGGTAGTGGCCCGGGGCAGGGTAGTAGCCCATGGGGGGGTGAGGGCCTGGGGGTGGGTAGAACCCTGCTGTGAATGAGAAACGTGCACAGGTGAGCATCTTTAGATGTGGCTGGAGAGGCAGATCCTCACTGGGGAGGTCCCCATCCTGCTGCCGCACCACCACCGGGGGTACAGTCTTGGGGCCAACCCTGCTGCAGGCACTGTGTCCCCCACCCCATCCCCAGGAGCCTCACTGCAAGCCCCAAATGGCAGCTCCAGCCCCTCCTTGTGTCCCCCCCATTCCCCAGAAGTCATGTGCTGCCACCCATCCCCAGCCCCTCACAGGACTCACCCGGAGGCACGTAGGGCCCGGAGCCATCCGTGGGCATGTGGGGGGGCACGAACCCCGGCTGCGAGGGCGGCTCATACGGGGGGGGCCCGAACTCGGGAGGGGGGATGGGAACCCCCTGGGGCTGTCCCACGACTGGGGTGACACCCTCTGAAAGGAAACACAGAGTCAGCAGCCAGGGAGGCAGCAGAGCTGATGGGGAGATGGTGGCTTGGCTGTGTGGTCAGAGGGTTGGTCCCAGCAGGGAAGGGGGACACATGAGGTGGGGGGCACTGCCTTAAGCCTCATCCTCTGGGCCACATGAAGCCCAAATTCACCCCACCTCGCCCACAGCAGCGAGCAGAGCCCCACTTTGAGCTGGGAGTGCTTCCTGCTCTTGTTGCTGCCCCCGTGACCTCTCCTGCCTTCTCTGAGGGTGACATGGGGACAGATGGAGCTGGGCATTGCACCACCCTCCCCAGCACACTGTGCATGGCAGGGCAGAACTGCCAGCAAAAGCCACAGCCAGGGCACTCCCAGGGAATCCACACTTGCTTGGCTCCTGTCTGCTGGACAATGTCAGCACAACAGCCCTGAGCAGCTGGGACCACCCCCCTGTACCTGGTGCAGAGGGAGGGCCGTGCTTCTCCTCTATCAGCGGTGCCGAGGGGCCCCCCGGGTAGGGTGGCGGTGGGTCGTTGGACATGGCTCAGGGTGGCCCTGCAGGGACAGAAACCTTTAGAAAACACCAGCCTTTGATGCCACAGGCACCTGCCCGGAGCTGCACAGCACGTGGGGAAGGAGGTGACAACAAAAAAGGACAGGGCTGGTGCCACCACTGCACTCGCCTCAGCACCTACCCTGGGCAGAACCAGGGGTGCAGCCCCAAAGCTGGACAGGCTGTGACAAGGCAGCAAATCCAAGGTGTAACCCCTTCCTGCTGGCTCTGCAGGGCTTCCCTGCATGGCCCACACCTGACAAACTGCAGCTCATCAGAGCACCTCTGGGCTGAGTGGCCACAGGGCAGCGCTGGGCTGGAACCTGCTCTGCCAAGTGCCTTGGCTGTGGTGCTGGGGTACCAAAGGTGGGGAAGAGCTGCCAACACTGCCCACAGCCCCCCAACTCCACCCACAGTGACACCCAATGCTGTGCCCCGAGGGTGGCAGGACCCCCGAGCCTGAAGTGCAAACACCAAGGCAGAGGCTGCAAACTCACAGAGCAGCTCTAAGTAAATCTGTAAATAAATCCAGTGAGCTAAGGTAAGACCAGCTTCAACAGCTGGGGCCACTGTTTTACACGGGGTACTATTCACCTGTCCTCTCCCTCGCAGTGAGAGCTCAGAGGCCTCAACAGAGCTGAGAGAAGCAATTCCTCTGAGTGGCGTAGTTTGGGAGCTGGCTTCTCCCACCAAATCTCTGCAAAAGGAGAGAAGGAGTTACAGAGATGGAGAGGAGTCACAGCTGCAGTGCTGCCCTGGCCACCACAGCAAACCCCCTCCTGGCCCCAGTGCAGGTACCTCCCCACGTGCCCCCTCGATGGCAGGTACGAGGCTCTGTGTCCTCAGCACATGGCAAAGCCCCACCAACACACTCTGAGATCCAAGGAAGAGCAACAACATCAAGAAGCCTGATTTCTCTGTTTTCTCTGGCTCAGTTATAACGTGAGTAAATTGGGAAATACAAATGAGAGGCTGCTCCCTCGGTGCTTGGGATGGCTGCCATCAGGATGGGGCAGAGTGACACTGCTGTCAGTGCCCAGGAGCAGAGCCGGGAGCTCCCCTTGTGGGCTGAGCCCTCCCTGAGCCCTCCATCCTTCACCCCAACAGGCCAGAAGCAAATGTGACCCTGCTTGTCCTGTTTGCTGGCACCAGTGCCACGTGCTGGGCAGCCCGCCCGGAGCACGCCAACCTCCCCGGCACGGCACAGCACGGCACAACCTCCCCGGGCACCAGGCCTGCATTGCAGGGGTGCCCAGAGAGGAGCCTGTGGGGCACAGCCACCTCCACCTGCAGCTCCCGGGTCAAGTGGAGCCAAGGCCTTGGCAAGCACGTAAGGGAGATCCATCTCTCCCTCCCTCACCTGCTTGGCTTTGCTTTATTCCACTCCTTTTTCCTAGTTCACATTCCCTGCCCCCCAGCAGCCTCCTGCAAGGCAGCTGGAAATCTATCAGGTCACCAGTCCATGGGGCATCATCACCTGTTGCTGCTCAGGAGGAGCACACTGATCCCCCCAGGAGCTGAGTAAATTCCCGACAGGCACAGGGTCTG